AGGTTCCCCGAGGATGCAACGTAAAAAAAGAGGAGGAGACGGAGGAGGAGGAGGAAGGAGAGGAGGGGGAGCAGGAGGAGCAGGAAAAGGAGGAGGGGGAGGAGGAGAAGGAGGAGGAGGAGGAGGAGGAGGAGGAGAAGGAGGAGCAGGAGCAGGAGGAGCAGGAGCAGGAGGAGGAGGAGGAGGAGGAGGATGAGGAGGAGGAGGAGGAGGATGAGCAGGAGAAGGAGGAGGAAGATGTAAAGATAGAGGAGGATGGGGGAGGCAGGCGTTCGGCCGGTGCGCGTCATCGCCGCCTCTGGGCATCCCCTGCTGCCCCCCTTGCGCTCTCTACGGCGTGCTGGCGGGCGCGGCGGGGGCGGGGCGAGCGTCGACTCTCGCCGTATATGCTAACGCCACAGGCGGTTGCGCCCGCGGCTTGCTCAACACAGGAGCGGGAGGAGGAGGTTACAGACGTGACTCGGCTGCGAGCGAGGCGAGGTTCGAACTTCGAGGTTCGAGGTTCGAGGCGGTATTTCATGGTTTTCGGCCTCTGGGGATCGTTTTCGGGCCCCGGGGCCCGAAACTCGATCCTAGGTGAAAAGCTGCGTCGGATGGACCCCCGGAGAAGTTCAGAGACACGTTTTGACCGATGTTCGGCGTCGCGCTCAAGGGGGAAAGTGAGAAGGAGGTCCTTCTCAGACGGCGGCGAGGCTGCTAAGCAGCCCTCGCGCTTCCTGATCGTTTTTCCCTACCTAGGCTCTGCCTAGAAGGGTTCTTACTCTGTAGCTTAAAGTGGCCGGGCAGTTCTAACCGCCCCGGGCGGTTCCCCCGGTCCCCTGGGAGCCAAGCAAAAGCAACAGCAAAGGTAAAAGCAAACGCGCGGTTCCCCCAGTTGCGCTCCCTGGGTGCCAAGCAAAAGCAAACGCAAAGGCACAAGCGAAGGCAAAAACGAAGGCAAAGCAAAAGCATAGCATAGCATAGCATAGCATAGCATAGCGTAGCATATCATAGCGCAGCATAGCATAGCGCAGCATAGCATAGCATAGCATAGCCTAGACTATCCCAGCATAGCATTGCGCAGCATATCATATCATAGCATATCATATCATAGCATAGCATGGCATATCATACCATAGCATATCATAGCATAGCGCAGCACAGCATCCAATATCGCTGCTGCTGCTTCACTTACGGCGTGGCGTCGGCGGTTCCGGCGCTACTACTACTACTACTACTACTACTACTACTACTACTACTACTACTACTACTACTACTACTACTACTACCGCTACTGCTACCGCTACAACTACGACGATGAGGAGAAGGAGGAGGACGGCGTTTACCGCTCCTACTAATGTTGCTTTCCTAGAGGCTCCAATTCCTAGGTAGGGTCGCACTGGGATAATGTTGGGTCTGCGGGGAAGGCCCAGAACACTGTTCAGAAGGCCGGGGAGTTTCCGAGCCTTCTGAGAAAGCCCGCCTTTTATCCTTTCCCCCCCGAGCTCGCCGCCAAGTGACGGACCTCATCACCTTCACGCGGGCCGCGAACCGACGAGAGCTCTCACATCCAAGTGGGATGGCAAAAAGTATGCTGCGCTGGCGGCGGCCCTGCCCACCACGCGCCGCAAGCGGCAGGCAGGAGGCGCTGGCGAAGGCGAAGGAGTACCCAGACCTCCAGCCGTCTCGACAAGAGTCAGGACGCAGGTTTTCCGCCGTGCCCGGCCCATAGGGCCCTCGCTGGGCCCTGGGGCCCTCAACAGGAAGACTCAGGATGAGAAGCCAGCCCTGGGGGACGCGGTCGGAACTTCCTCGGGACGCATTAAGTTGAGCATTCGAGACGGTGCCTGTCTGTGCAGGGGCAGCAGCGGGAGCAGGAGGCGATGTTCTCCAGTGTCTCTCTGTGGCCTCCAGGACCTCCAGAGACCTCCGCAACCTGCTGGGGCCTCAGGAGATCTCTGGAGGCCTCTGGGAAGTTGGGCTCGCGCTCCCTGCATACTGGTCAACCTCGTGTCCCTGCCTCTCCACAGGTTACCTTGGCTTGCAATGTTCTGTAATGTTTTGCAGCGCGTTGCCTCGTGTCGCACTCTTTCGGCTCATTTTGCAGGGGATCGATGTGCTTTCTGGCGCTTTGTTTGGCTTGCCCCAGTCTGCCTGTGCAATCCGCCTAGTTGTCTTCGCTTGCCACACGTCGCTATTGCCCTGGTTGCCGCTACGTACCCTCATCGTTCTCGTCACCTGGCCGCCTTTTGGCAGAGCGTGCACTTCACATTCTTCTGTATCCTCCTGCTCCCGTGATTGGGTTCCCGCGTTTGTGTCTTTTTGCAGCCGCGCTCGCCGCGCGCCCGAATGACACACGTACACACACACACACACGCACCCCCCCCCACACACACACACACGCACACACACACACACGCACACACACACACACGCATGCACGCACGCACGCACGCACGCACGCACGCACGCACACCACACACCACCACGAACACCCACCCACCCACCCACACACCCGCACACACACACACACACACACACGCACACACACACACACACGCACACGCACACGCACACAACAACACACGCACTCACGCATTCACGCTGACACGCACACAGGCACACAGGCACACACGCACACACGCACACACGCACACACGCACACACGCACACACGCATGCGCACACGCGCAAACGCGCACACGCGCACACGTGCACGCGCACACGCGCACACGCGCACACGCGCACACGCGCACACGCACAAACGCACCTACGCACACACGCACGCACGCACTCGCGCGCACAACCGCGCACGCACGCATACGCACGCACAAGCACGCACACGCACGCACACGCACGCACACGCGCGCACACGCACGCACACGCGCGCACACGCACGCACACGCGCGCACACGCACGCACACGCACGCACACGCGCGCACACGCACGCGCACGCACGCACGCACGCACGCACGCACGCACACGCGCGCACACGCGCGCACGCACACGCACGCACACGCACGCACACGCACGCACACGCACGCACACGCACGCACACGCACGCACACGCACGCACACGCGCGCACACGCGCGCACACGCGCGCACACACGCACACACGCACCCACGCACACACGCGCACACACGCGCACCCACGCGCACCGCACCTACGCGCACACGCGCACACGCGCACACGCGCACACGTTCACACGCGCACACGCACACGCACACGCGCACGCACACGCACACGCACACGTACACGCACACACGCACGCACGCACGCACGCACTCACACACACACACGCACACACGCACACGCACGCACAAGCACAAGCACGAACACACACTCAAACACAAACACAAACACAAACACAAACACTACACAAGCACAACCACAAGCACACACACAAGTACAAGCACGACCACAACCACAAGCACGAACACGAACACAATCACAAACAGAAACACAACCACACACATAAACAAGCATAATCACAGACACACAATACAGACTCACAAACACAAGCACAAGCACAACCGAAACCACAAGCACAAATACAGCCACAAACACAACCACAAACACAAACACAAACACCCTTCCACCCACCCACCCACCCACACACCCATGCCCATAAGCACACACACACCCACACACAGAAACACACGCACACACGCACACAAACACACACACACTCACACGCGCACGCACGCACGCACACGCACACACCCACACACAGACACGCACTCACACAAACACACACACACACATGCCACACACAATCACACCAACACACAAAGACACAAGCACACAACCACACGCAAGCACACATACATACAAGCACACACAAACTCATTTTCAATCACACGCGTATACGAAACACACACACAACACACAACACACAACACACAACACACAACACACAACACTTACACACACACGCACACACGCACACACACACACACTCATGCACGCAGACACACACACACACACGTGTCGCCGAGCCTTTGGCCAGGCCAGCTTTCCCGCAGTGCCGATTTTGCCACCTCCTCGCGCAGCGCCGACACAGACCGAGCCAGGTCAGGTCCGCGATGCGCCGGCCTGCCGTCCACAGCTCTGGCTCGGCGTGCCTCCCCGCTGCCTCTGGCCCACCGCGCCCCGGGCGCGACGCGCCACCCACATCGCCCGGCCCCGCAGCGCCAACGTCCCGAGCCGTCCTCGGCCCCTCGCCCCGCGGAGCGGGGCGCCCCGCGGCCCGCTCGCAGGGCACGGCGCGCCGCGGGGGCCGCCGCCGCGGCACGCTGCCCCAGAGGGCTCCTGGCAGCAGGCGGCGGAGGGGGCCTCGCCCGCGGGGAGCAGGCAGGGAGACACGCGCGAGCGCTCGGAGGTCCGCGCAGAGCTCTCGGATCGTCACCGGAGGCCCCTCCCGCGCGCCAGGGAGGGGGGGGGCCCAGCGCGATCCGAGGAGACCGCGCGGACCTCCGAGCGCTCATGTTTGTGTCCTCTTTCGCCCTGCTGTGTGCCGTCGTGGCCTCTCCGCTTCCAAGAGGGGCCCGTCCCCTTACCCCCTCAGAGGAGAGGCCGGCGTGCCAGGCGGAGAGAGCATCCCCATCTGGGGCGGGGGGAGCGAGGATGAGACGGGGAGGATTCGGAGCCTTTCCCTCCTTCTCTCCCTCCTTCTCGCTCCGCCTCCTCCCCCTCCTCCCTGCTCCTCCTCCTCCTCCTCCTCCTCCTCCTCCTCCTCCTCCTCTCCTCCCTCCTCCTTTCTCCTTCTCTCTCCTCCTCCTCGTCCCCCCCCCCTCCCTGAGACTGGGTGCTCCCTCCCCCTCCCCTCCTCTCCCGCTGCCCTGCCCGCCTCCCTCCACGCCTCCGCGTTGGGGGTCCCCTCTCCCTGTCCTCCCCTCCTGCACCTCCCGTCTCCCCCTCATCTTTCGCCCCCCCGTGCGTTCTCTTCCTCGTCGCCCCCTCTGATCTCATCCTTCCCCTCCCTTCTCCGCGTCCCTCGGCCCCTCGGGGAGGGGGGGAGGTCCGACCAGCTGCTCTCGGAGTTCCTGGGGCTCAGGGGCAGCGAGCTGTGCCCGGTGTTCGGGTTCGCGCGGAACACGTACTACATGCTCGCCCTGCAGGCGGACAGGAGGGGGAAGGAGGCGGAGGAGGGGAAGGATGAGCAGAAGGGGGGGAGAGGAGGAGGGATGAAGAGGAGGGTCGATATCGAGGAGGATCGTGGGAAGAGGAGAAGGATGAGGAGTATGAGGAGGAGAAGTGGGAGAACTAAGAGGAGGGGAGGAGGAGGAGGAGGAGGAGGAGGAGGAGGAGGAGGAGGAGGAGGAGGAACAGCAGCAGCAGCAGCAGCAGCAGGAGGAGGAGGAGGAGGAGGAGGAGGAGGAGTTTGTTTTGATTGCCGTATGCAGTCAGCGCTTCTGGGGCCTCCAGAGGCCTCCGGGGATCTCAAGAGGCCCCCCGTGGAACTTCCGGAGACATTCTAAGAGGCCTGGGGACGGGGAGCCGGAGGGGGTGCGTCTACACCTTCGACCACTTTCTCGGCCTTCGGCCGAGGGCGTCAACGGCATAGGCACCGTGCCGCCAGCAACCACAAGAGCCTGAGGGCGCGGGGATCGAGGGACTCGAGGACGGTGGTAAGGGGGTTTGGGAGGAGGAAGCGCCGTTCGATCGACGACGCCAGGGCGGTGCGATGGTGCTTCGGCATGGTGCGCTGCTGCGCGTGCGTCCGTTCCCGCGCTGGCGTTGTGCACTGGTGCGGAGGACCTGGCCCATCAGGGGGCAGGCTGATTACAAGTATAATGAGATGGCGGAGTAGGAGGGAGAGGAATATGAGGACGGATGAGGATGGGCAGCATCTCGAGCAGCAGATGGAGATGGCGATGAAGGTATTGATGATGATGATAATTTTGATGGTGGTGTTCGTGATGATGATGGTCATTCTAAGCGATTGGGCAGAGACTTCGGAGCAATCGTTGGAACGAGGGCCCCGTATCCCCATTTTTCCTGCTGCTAAAATCAGGCGTGGGCAAGGGGTGTCCACCCTCCCGCCATCGGCCCTCAATCCCGCCTCCTTCTCCTCCATCTTCCTCCTTCTTACTTCTCGCTCTCACTCTCCCTCTCTTCCTCCCTCCCCGACTGTCGCTTTCCGACTTGTCCATTGCCATTCCCATCTTACTTCCTCCTCTCCTACTCCTCCTCGTCCCCCTCCTCCCCCCTCTCCCGCACCCTTTTCCCCCCCTCTCCCTTCCCCCATCCTCACTCTTTATTTGCGCATGCGCCTACCAGCCCGCCTAGCCAGCAGATAGTCGCTCCATCGGGGCCAGCCGATCTTTCCAATGAGGCAAGACTTCCCTGCTCGCGCTTCTTTGCGCCCTTTCAGCACTGACGTTTCGCCGTCTCCACTGCAACGCGCGTGGTGGGACAGGGACGGGGCGCGCATCGCGCGAGACACGGCGGGAATGACGCTCCAGCCTCGGCGCCGCGCTCAGCTCTTTCCTGAGCGCTGAGCTCCGGCTTCGGCGCGGCGCCCGGCAGACTTCGGCGGAGCGTGGCGCTCCCGCCTCGGCGTGCGTGTGCGTGTACCTCGATCGCCCAGTCGGCGGTGGGCGCGGCCGCGCCCCAGCGAGCGA